TTTGTGGGAAATACTGAAAACTGCACAATACCAGATGAAAATTGACTATGAAAATGCAGTTGTTATGCATCCAGGTGAGAAATGTTAAGGTTATTATATATATATATATATATTTATGACTATTGTTTAACTTTGTTTCCCAAAGTGCATGTGCACTCAGTGAGTAAGGTAAGGTCAAGAAAGACTGAGAATAGTTGTAGAAAATATATAAGCAAAAAGCTTATCCTTATAGAAGGACTCCTTGTTCCTCATTTCAAGTTCTATGAAGGCATTTGGCCTGGTAGTGATGCATCTGGTGTGAGTTGGGTAGTGATGGTACAGCTTCCTGCTGCAGTCTGTGAAATGTCTAACCTGTGACCTGAGCCAAGGCCAGCTCTCTGAATGATGTGTTATCACACACTTAGTGCAGCTAAATGATGTGAAAATGCTTTTCCTTTTGTTCACAGCCCTGTCCTTCTGGGGAAACTTAATTTTCCCTGCTGGGTTAACTCCTGTTTACCACACATCAGTTTCCAGTGCTATTGCTCTGCCTCTTTACAGCCTTTTTTTAGAGGCTCCTTGCTTGAACCCACGCACCTATTTTACCTTGTGTGTATGAGCAATGAAGACATATCTGAAGATCATTCAGTATGTGAGCAGTCTCAGTAGAGAAATAACACTGCATGCCTGAGTAAATACTCACTTGTGAGAAGCACAAGTGATGGGTCTGGGTTTTGTTGGGGAACACTCTTAAGTACATTATTATTTGAATCTCATTGTCCACCAGAAACATAAACAAAAATTAAAATGAACAACAATAATAGAAACAGAAGTCTTTGTAGTTGTTTTTCTCTGTTCACTCTTTCTATGTAATTTCTCATTCAGTCAGCCCCAACCCTAACATGATACATTTGGAAAGGTCACAGTATTAATTATCTTCAAATGAGTGTGTATATACTTTTCAACAACAATTCATCAAATCTGTGGGGAAAATGACAAGGCCAGCTTCTATTCCTGTAACTGCAGTGATTTTAATTCAAGAAGATAGACAGAGTAGAAATCAAACTGGTAATCAGAAACTCCCATTCACATCTAATACATCCCATCCCTCACACTCTCCCTTCTTACTTTTGCTCAGAGGCAGTTTCTGACATCAGAAATAGCATAATGGTGTTAACAGTGTTTGGGTATGGTTTTGTTTTGTTTTTCCCAACTTTAAGACATAAAACACTGTTAGAAGCACTAGTGTGAATTTCAGTAGTCCAGGGATCTGTAGGTTCCCTGCCTGAGTGAATAAAAGTGTGGAAGTAACTGCCGAAATCATGTAACTAGTCTGGAGCTCCTCAGCCACAGTGGAGAAAAGCTGTTTTACATCAACAAAGGTTGTGACATTAAATCTCATGAGGAACTTCCAACCAGTGTATTCTAGAAATCCTTACGTGACAAAGGTTTCATTTGCTTTAAATTTGGCTGTCAACAGCAGTGAGGCAAATTCCTGTTTTCTGAGCGCTAACTTGAAATAATGTGAAATAGCAAATGGAGAATGGCACGAGCTAAGTACACACATCTCATCCATAACGGTAACCTTTCAAGCACTCATTATTCATGAGTATCAATAAAAAGTGAACTTTTGTTACATAGCCTTAAAACCTGTGACAACATTATGTTACCCAGCTAATAATGCCTGGTTGTCAGTGCATGTCCTCAAGTACAATTACATTAGCCACAAAACTTTTGGGTGTACAATTTGGGGGAAGGTCTAACAGCTGCTTGCATGCGACACAAGGAAGAGGAGCATCACCGTGGTGAAAGAAGGTAATTGGAGCTGCGATAAGGATCCTGTTCAGGGTGGATACATTGGTGGAAATTTGAAGACATCACTTAAGTCTGTGGCAGTTTCGTGCTTTACAGTTTTGTAAGTGAAGTTCAATGTCTATCTGGCATAATGTTATCAGCTCAGCAACAACCCAACCTCAAAGGTTCACCTCTCTCCTTCTGGAGAAGAGCAGCAGAAAGACAATGACACAGGCCATAAGGTCCCATGTGAAGCAGTCCCTGCCAGTAGAAAGAAATCCACCATTTCCGCGGCTATGTTATCATAGAATTATAGAATGGCCTGGGTTGAAAAGGACCACAATGATCATCTAGTTTCAATCCTGCTGATAAGTGCAGGGTCACCAACCACCAGACCAGGCTGCCCAGAGCCACATCCAGCCTGGCCTTGAATGCCTCCAGGGATGGGGCATCCACAACCTCCTTGGGCAACCTGTTCCAGTGTGTCACCATCCTCTGTGTGAAAAACTTCCTCCTAACATCTAACCTGAACCTCCCCTGTCTCAGTTTAAGACCATTCCACCTTGTCCTATCACCATCCACTCTCGTAAACAGCTGTTCCCCCTCCTGTTTATACACTCCTTTCAAGTACTGGAAGGCCACACAGAAGTCTCCCCAGAGCCTTCTCTTCTCCAAGCTAAACAATCCCATTTCCCTCAACCTTTCCTCATAGGAGAGGTGCTCCAGCCCTCTGATCATCTTAGTAGCCCTAAATCATTCCAGGTCAGTGCAAAACAAAGACTAAACTTTTTCACTGGGGTTTCCAGACCATAGAAGTCACTCAAAGCCTGCAAGAGAGTTAATTTAAAAGAGTGATCTGCAGGATGAGTTTTAAGGCTAGCTCAGAGATGGGTAATTCCACAATATTCCAAATTAATTTATGACAAATGGAAACTAACACTGTATTTGCAGTCAATCAGCAATGATTTGCAATCTTCAGAGCAGAGAGGAAAAAGGTAAGCTTATGCACAGAGAAGTAGAGATTAAGCCTTATGTTCTCAGTGTATTTACAAAGTGCATGAATAAATAGCCTAGTGTGATATCTTGCACCCAAAAAGACAGAATCACAGAAAATGTGAGCTAGACAATTTCTATGTTGGAAAGCACCCGTCTCCTGTGATACTTCTCAGCAAAGAATGAAGCCCAGAGAAGCTGAATGATGGGAAGGAGAGAATTTTCCCTGAGATGTTGAATGTACAGAATTGAATGGGAAAAGCTCCAAAATAGCTGAGGTGCTGTGAACACACTTCGTACACAGGACAATGGTGTTACTGTTTCTCTTGTTTTGAAATACAGATGAACAGATGGATGGATGTGTTTTACCTTTTGTGAGTGAAGCTGATTCCTGAGTTTCATATAAAAAATAGTTATTTTGCTACTAATACACGATGGCAGAGCTGACAAGAGCTGAGAATCAATAGCAGGCATTTACTATTATTTTGGTTGTATTAAACTGAAAAGTATTTACCCAAATCTCAGTAAATTCTGTTTAAGAAACGATTTTGCCTTGATTTCTGCAACAATAAGGAAGATAACTATGAAAACAATAGAGCCCACACACTGACTATGAGCTGGCAAGAAATGATCCACCATCCAATATTGATTCAACTTTGCCCCTTTGCAATTTTTTGTTGATGATGGCAGCTGTGGAACAGTTGGCAGTAGGAAACAAATGGATTATTCTGAGTTCAAAGGAGAAATCTAATACATCAGTCTTGCAAATGACTAGAGACTAAGCAGAGATACTTCAGAATCTGTTTCCAGTTTCCTGCTGTGGTGTCCCTGAATTGTGCATGGCCTTTTCAGCTCCTTGTAGAAAAACTTACTGTTTGGGATGTGTTTTGCCTGTGAAGACAATGCTAAAGTGTGCTTGTCTTCTCTGTTATAGCCTGTTTGGGTAATCATGGCATGGTCAGATGGTCTCATGGAAGTTAAAGGCCTAATCTGTCAAAAAGCTCATAAAGGAAGACAAACGCTACTTTTAGGAAATTTCCCTAAGAAGTGTAAAATGTAAGAGAAAGGAGAAAAAATAGCAATTTTACTTCAGCATGAACACTTTTCAAACAAAGTTCTCTATCTTTTTTGTTGTCAGTTCAAGTTAGACTTTAGAAATGAAGCCCTAGGCTTCAGGAAGGCAATAGTGTCTTCTCCTCCTGATTTCAGGGAAGTTTCAGAGTTTGCCTGGGATCCTACCCTCAGACTGCAAGAGTAGACCTATTCCTTGTTTAAGAACTTTAGGATAGATTAACCAGATGAAGAATAATCTGAGGCAGTGGCAGAATTATAATATATTGGATCATTACATTCAATTTTTAACTTGTTCAGGTTTCATAGTAATATAATACTGCTGCTACATAGTACTAGGTAACACTAAATGTAGGCTACAGCTTATAACAGGCACTTAAAGGCAAAGGTAAGTAACGCAATAGAAGTCATAAAGACAGGAAATTGAGATCAACATCCAACACAATGTAATCAAAAAGATAACATGAGCAATGCAAATTTTTTTAATTTCTTACTGCAAAACACATTTTCAAAACTTCCAGATCTGCCTTTATTGAACTTCAGAGATAGGAACTGCCAACACAGAAACATTAAGAAGTTAACCTCTTGTACTGAAAATGACATTCAGAGAATTGAGGTACCTCAGTTGGATATAGGCATTTTAGAAATCTGCCTTGGCTGTCAAGAGACAAAATTAATTTCTTATTTTGGCAGAAGAAAGTGTGGAAGTCCACAAAAACTGTAATTCTAGTAACTGCTTTCAGGCAGTTCTATCATGAAAATAGTTAAGTGTTTGCAACATATATCCTCCTTCATATTGTTTTGAAGGTCCTAAAATACTTTCCTCTTCTTGCCCCTCATTTCTTTGCCCCTCTACCCCAATATTCTTCTTTTCAAAATAAATTCCAGCACATTCAGCAACTCTGCAGCATGCAAATTAACACACAGTTTGTCCCTCAGAAGAACACAAAAAAATTCAGTAAGCAGATGTATATCTGTTCTCCTTATCTAACAACATATTACGTTGGCTACAAACATTTCCTTCCCAAGACTCCACTGACATTATTTGGATAAGCCATGAATACCTTTCTCACAAGGACACATCAACAGGACAGGCAGACACAGAAATCAAGAATACCTGATAGAACCTGACGAAAATACAGTTCAAAAATAGCACTTCTTACCTGCTTATTCATAAGTATGTAGATAATGGGATTGCAAACAGTACTGCTTTTTGCTAAGATGGAAGGTACGATGCTTGCAACAGGAGTCACCACACCTGGCTTACCAAATGTTGCAAGTAGTGCTATAACTCCATAGGGAATCCAACATGCAAGGTAACAGATAACTGTAGTGATCACCATGAACAGTACGTGGTATTCTCTTTTGCGAGCAGTGTTCTTGTGGATTTTTCCAACCTAGCAAAAGACAAAAATAAAGATGAAATTGGAGAAACTGTGTAGTTGTTTATATTGCTTTAATAACCTTCTTGGTCTTCGATCAGAAATGGCAATCAACACTGTATTTCCGGAAGCAAAACAAACTCAAACCCCAAAGTGAACAAATGCAACACGAAGACATAAAAGAAGCCTTTTGGAAGAGACTTTATGAGATTATAAGTGGTTGGATTCACTCTTTACAGACTACTTTTTCCAGGTGACTCACCACTTTGATCAAATGTCTTCCTTCCTGATAATCATCAAAACCAGATTTTTGTGCTTTTAGGAAAAGCATGCTACATACTGATTTAGTTCTGTTACTGTGTTATTTGGGGGAAAGGGAGAGGAACTGGATAAACAAGAACACAGATTCAAATGACAATGTTCAGTGCAATGGTACACTTGCTCATCTTGCTATCATGAATTTACCAACAGTTATAGCTGAGCAAACCCAGTTCGACTAAGAAATATTTAAAGCCTTCCATCTGCACTTCAAACTATACTCACCTTTGATCTGTTCTGAGCTAAATCGTCATGTCCATTCTTAGTCTAGATCTTTAAGTCAGATGTTAAACATTATAACAGCTCATATCACTAAGCACACAGGTAATACCCAAAGCCTGTGGAAGCCAGCAGTAAATTCATTGAGGTACAGATCAGGCACGGGTGCTTAACCTCAGGTTATTGAAATCATAAAGTTCTTAGAAAATATTTGGAAATGTTAACTCCAGAATAGTGAGGCTGATCTTCCTAAGTATCTCTGTAGCCATCAGAGAAAAAAGAAACCTCTGCAAGGAGGTAAATTTTTGTTCCAGTTGCTCTCCAGTGGCTCCAGGTAGGGCCTCAGCACAAGGTCTTCCCCAGTTATGGTTAATTCCATAACTTCCTTCCAGAGCGTGCTTAGTAAACCCAGATGTGCCAGCAGGATTTCAGGAAGCATTCAAATGTTTAAAATAAATCAACTGGTTCTTGCACTCAGCCAAATAAACTTTATGTCCACTTTATGTCCACTTTATGTCCACTTTAAAGTCTCTGCCTCCAAGTGCAGTGTTCGGGAATAAACTGCACCCAAGGGAAGGGCAGATGAAACTATAATAAGCAAAAGAGCAGTCCCTATAATGTTATGTATCCAAACTTTAACTAACAACAGCAACAAAAATTAAAAGAGGAAGAAGCCACAAATTACCTGAGTCAAATTGTCATATGCTGCCAGGTTCACGTAGTGTGAAAACTCAAAGCTTTATCTACCTCTCTGCTGTGTGGGTATTTGTTTTATAACATATGTGTTTATATATTGGACAATAAATCTAAAACATAAATAGTAACTGTGTAAGCATATATGGAAGGCAAAGCAATATGGTGACATTGTTTCCACTTAACTAAGATCTTTTGGAGTGATTGATTCTACCTGGGATTTTGGTAGGAAAGTTTCCATTGGAATTAAACAAAACACACACTAGCTTAGTCTGCCAAGAATTACCAAATATTTTTTTCCTGTATAGTCTTCAATTGATTTTCTGAGGAAAAAAAAAAAAAAAATCAATTGCAAAATAAAATCTGTCTATTCTGAGAACACTGGGAACAATTCTTCTGTTTGAAATAACAAGACTTGCATCTCATAATTACTTTGGCTTGACAAGAGAATTAATAATAGATAATGGTCCAAACTTGTATTGGTTATTTAAGCTATTTTGTTTTATTGTGTGTGTGTGTGTGACTAATAGGGACCTTTTCTGAAGGATTTAGGGATCCCATGTTAGCTGCAGCTAATATAGCTGTGCTACAGTCATTAACTCAGAAATGTAAAGCCCCAGCTAGCTACAGCATCCACAGCTAAAGATCTTCAATAAGGGTAGAGGCATCATTCAGCACATTAGAGCTTGCAAGAGTTTACCATCTGCACAGATAAACTACAGATTAGAAATAAGGGAAGAAAAGATGTGTAAATGGGAAGTGATCGTATTGAGATTTGTTATGTATCCTTCTAGTTTCACATCTTTGTTTCCTTAAGAAAGGAAGCCTACACTGTCACTATGTCTCTGTTACTATGCTAAGTCTGACTGTCTGTTTGTTCCAGTATCTTTCCTATAAATTTGACTGTGCTTTTGAAACTGACAAGGTGGATAGAGGTCTTTGACACTAAGTTCTTCATATGTCACTAGAGAATAAGGATCCTTATTAATGTGCTCATCAAGAGGAAAAATGTAATGTGAAATGAACTCAGATATCAGAGAATCCACTCTAATTTGGGTTTTATTTTGTTTTTGTTTGTATTTTTTTCCTCTCATCTTCCTGTTCCGATAATTAAAAAGGAGAGAACTGATCACAGCTGTTCCTGAAACAAGACATACATATGTCCTTGGTATCTATTAAAGATGACCTTCTGCTGCAGTTTTCTATAATTGAGTTTAAACACTCATTTGTCAAGAGATAAATCTATTGGAAAGCAAATTTTGTTAGCTGCCATGTCCAAAAAGTCTTTCACATCCATTTTAAACCAGTGAATCAAATTATGATTTTTATGTATACTTCTTACTATAATTCTATAATATGATTTACTTGTAGTCCAAATCCTGGGAATGAGCAAGTTTCATCTCCAGGTTTTCTTGAGAGTATGATTATTTTCAAAAGTACATTTCCATTCTCACTGTTGCAGAGAAGAGATTAAAAGCATGGAACTGCAGGAAGAAAGACAAGCAATGGACCAGCAGTGATGATCAGAATGTATTCCCTTCCTTAGTGGCTCTAGATCCCAGATGATGAGGCTGTCTCAGCTTTCCAGAGGGGACAAGTATGGTAAGTTTGCAGCCCTTGTGGTGAATCAAAAAATGTACCTGATGTTTCTCTCAATTTTTATTTGATGCTCCAAACTTCTACAGCTGTTAACTGCATTTTATGCTTCATTCATCTACTTCCTCAGTGTCAGTAATGTTATTTTTTCATGGTGTATTGGCCAACAGACTCAACTTAGTTTTATTCCATATTGCCTTGGCTTCATGTTTACGCCTGAGACTCAAAGTTCAGTGCTCTGTATTTGGTACTAAAGCAGGTGGCCAATATTCAGTTCAAAGACAAAGCAGACCATTGATTTGTCCCTCAACACAGTACTAGCTTGGGAAAGGAGCCTATTGGGATGGTGGTTCACCAAGCACAACACTCTAATTAACAGAGTAGGCAGAAGCAAGAAGCAGAGGGATTCATTATAAAATAAATAATGTGGGGCAGCATTAGAGCCCTCAAGAAGCTGCAGACAGCTGTGAGAGCAATAAGAGCACTGTAACTGGAGTGATGGAGAAAGATCCAACAGCAAGGTCAGATTTGGAGCTGAAACCTGAGATGCCACAGCTGGCCATAAAATGGCAGTTGCTCACTTAGCTATGGGAGAATGAGTAGCATAAATGTTACTGTCTTCATACAAGATACCCCAAGATGGAGAAGGCACGCTAAAGGTCTGTTTATCTTGATGCGTAGGACATGTGAGTGCTGGAGTTGTGCCTGCAAAATGGGAGTGAAGAGTTGGGAGAAGAGTCACATTGCTCAGAGTCTCTGAGCATGCTGCTGGACTGTTGCATGACCACTCTTCCCCTGGCCTTATGGCACATGTTGGCAAACAGAGTTGAGTGTGTGATATTGTTTCCTATCTTGTTATGGCCTGACCACAGCTTCCTTTCCCCTGCACTGTTCAGGGGGAGAAAGTAGAAGAACCAGGAGTGAAGCTGACCTTGGAAAGGATGGAATTTTGCTTTTAATTACCACTAACCTACTCTATTATTAATTGGCAATATATTAACTTCTTCTCTAAGTCAAATCTCTTTTGCCTGTAATGGTAATTGGTGAGTGATCTCCCTGTCATTGACACAAGAGTTTTCTTTGTCTTATTCTCTGCCCCTGTCCTGCTGAGGAAGGGCAGTGAGTGACTGGGAGAGCACCTGTTGACCAGCCAAAGTCAACCCACCACATTGTGAAATCACCCTGCTTCATTCCGAGATACGTTAACAGTGCAAGAGAAGCTGTGGGATTTCAAGAAGCTTTAGACTACTCTGCAGAAGTGCTCCCAGAGTTTTGCTTTTCAAAGTATGTACTATATTTATCTACACAGTTATGGTTTCATTGTCTTTGCAGCTTTGCAGCCTACCTTTAGAAGGTGTTATCTTTAAAAGCTCTCTTCTTAAAGGTGCTGAATGCCCCGAGCAAAGTACATCTACAGAAAAATTACATTTTCGTAGATGAAAAAGCAGTAGGTAATTTAGCATCAAAACGATTTCATTTCTTATCTTGAAAGTATTGCACAATTTAACACAATTGCTACATTGCATTTTCAATAGTTGAATGGAAGTGCCTCCCAGAAATGCTTGGTGTCTGCACAGCCAGATGATAGGAGACCATTAAACTGTGATAATAAAAAATGTTCGAATAATGGACTAGATAGCTGAATTTGTAAAGTCTGATTTAAATGTGGAATAGAGTGTACATAATATATTTTTAAAATACACAAAATATCTAAACTACATTTTGAAATGATGCGAAAAATATTAGGCCATTGGGTTCAGAAGGTATTTACTGAGGCTGGCTGTAAACCACATGCCTTTGCTGTAAATTCAGGCCTTTTTCCTGGGACGAAGGCCATCTCCTGCAAATCTGAGAGACCTGATCTTTTGTAGGGAAGGCATCACATTTAAGGAAAAGAAGATTTGGGGGAAGGTGGGAGGTTATTTTATAATTAATATATATATATATATAATGGTGTGTCTTCCCTAATTTCACCCTGGCAAGTAGCAGAATTGGAGGTTGTTTTTTTTTCAGAAATTAGCCTAAGGTAGTGACAGGTAAGCTTGTCTAATCTTAAGCACTGAGCATAAGACTGGCTCTCATTTTGCCCTGTAGCCAATTTGTAGCGTGCATATATACCCAGTGCATTCTTCCACCCTCCTTTTCCACTCAATCTGGCATGCAAGACACCACAGTTACGACTAAAGGAG